CGCCTGCCAGAGACCCCCTGAATCTCCCCCAACCCTGCCCGGCCTCCTCTGGCGTCCCTCCCTATGAGCAACATTGAGGTGACCATGCCCATATTGGCCATACCCACCCAGTCTGCCAAGACCACCACAGCCACACCCGCCCAGTGGGCCACGCCCACCTGGCACCTGGCGATAAATAAGTGGGTCTTGGGTTGCAGTTTGGGCACTCAGTTTCTAAAAGGTTCGCCATTACTGCTCTATGGAAAAAGTTTTCTACAGGTAACAAGCAAACAGAAGGCACACACAAGTAGACATCATTAGTGAGCCTTCTGCTTAAAATGGAAAGCTTAGAAAGTAAAGAGGCAGAATCAGCATGCAGAGACATAATGAGAAGCCAGGTTTCAGCATAGAGTTTGAATACTGTATATTTATATAGTTGTTAGTTTTAACTTAGCCACAGTTATTTGTAAATATATTGAGTTCTGTAGGACTTGCTCCTTTGTAAGTCAACCAATCAGAATAGAGCTGGAAGGGCTGCTGCCACATACTGCTGGCTCATGTTTAAGTGATTGTCCACTAGGACTCCAAGGTCCCTCTCACAGTTACTGTTTTTGAGCCAGGTTTTGTCTAATCTGTACTTGTACCTCTGTTTGTTCCTAGCTAAACATAAAAGCTTGCTTTTCTCCACATTAAATTTCATGTTGTTGGATAGGCCCATTGTTCAAGTCTGTCACATATATACTGTCAAGTGTATACAGAAAACATGAGGAATATGTAGTTCTCCAAATGTTGCTAAACTACAGCTCTCAGAAGGGTCTAGCCAGGGCTTTTTTTCTCACAGAATGCCCAGAATGGAGTTCTGGCACCTTTTTTGGATGGAATCTTGTAGGGTAGGCAAGGCAGGTGGTATGACATGTGTGAGTTCCGGCACCTTTTTTTTTTTTTTTTTTTTTAGAAAAAATGCACTGGGTCTAGCCATTAAAACCACTGGCAAGGGTTACTGGCACTAGTCATTTTGGACAGCTGAAAGACCATAGATTGCCATATTTGGTGCCTAGAATTATAGTGAGAATCTAGTTATGCTATTATCATTAATGGTACATGGCTTAATACAGTCTATATAATCATTTCCTAGAGATACTGGATTTCCTGCAGCAAGTAGAGGATTACAAATGTATTACTTTGGAGCTAATTTCCAAGTCTGTAATTCTATACATTTTGATAAGACAGATACAATACAGAGAGAAAGTAGGGGAGGGGGATGCACAGATGTCTACACTGATGAACCGTACTTCAGCAGCACAGTAAGGGGACTCATTTGCCCTTTAGAATAGATGACCATTGACAAAAGCAATAACAAAAATTGCCTCTAGTTTCAGAGCCTTCCTTCCTTCCTCCCTCCCTCCCTCCCTCCCTCCCTCTCTCTCTCTTTCTTTCTTTCTTTCTGCAGAAGTGTGGAGATGGTTGTAAATCAAAGGTGTGAAGTCATGATCCCCAATGAATGAAGAAGTTATGGCCTCAGAAACAAATTCAAGAAAAGAGATTACACCATAATTTTACAGGTAATGCCTTATTTGGGGAATTTAATGCAGAACAAGCACACTGTCTGTAGACTTAGCTGAACAGCTGTGCAAGTCACAAATGATAGTAAAACCAGGAGTTGAGTTTACATAACTATATGTATTTCTCTAGGCAGAAATACAAATTATGACAAATTAATGGGGATTGTGACATTTTCTGCTCTTGTAAATCAATTCTGAATCTGAAAACCTCCCTTTCCCCAAAGTACTAATAAATAAGAGTATACAGGAGATCTCATGCAAGGTAACCCCATGCTTATAATTTTCCAATCTGTAGATCCACGGTGTAACATTTCCTGTTTATATTGCTTCTTTAAAGTTTGCAAAGTAGATAACTTTACAATTTCACTAATTAATTGGAGGGGTTTTTTAAAAAAATAAAATGATATTTCTATATTAGATTTCATAGAAAATTATGGTTCCGAAACTTCTTCCCCGGGTACGTAGTATAGTTACAATGTATAACATTAAATAAATAAATAAATATGTAAATGGACAATACATAGTAGATCCAGATAATATCGATCCACAAATAGGGATTGTTTTTCACTCCGTTTCACTGGGCTGTACCAATCTGGGGCCAATAGATTAGCTCTGTCTAAACCAAACCATAAGCTGAGTTAACCACCATGTCGAAAAATTACCTTCAAGAATTGTTCCAACTATTTTACTATGCTGGGACTGAAAAGATCAGTTAATTTCATATCTCCCTTTGAGAAATATAGAGCTGATAAATCCAGACAATGAAATCCTGAGATTGAGGTAAGAAGCTGACTAAATTTGCTGGGCGGGGTCCTGGGATGTTATTGGCTCACATGATAAAAGGACCCTGCCAGTGAAAATTCTTGTAACTGTTTTGCTATCTCTAGTCTAGATCTTTACATAACAATCTTCTGAGTTAACCGAAATAAATATGTGGAAGATAAATAATCTTCCTCATTAGTAACACATACACATTCAAGTGAAAGGGGGCTATAATGAATGATTGTGTGGGGCTGGGGACATGAGGTGGGCTTAATGTCTCCCCTTCTCAATTTACCAGTAAGAAAACTATTGGTGCTATAAAAGGGCTTCATTTCAACATACTTTCTCCCCCCCCCACCCTGTATCATTCAATATATAAATCTGCTTTAATAATTTTTTTTTCATTTGCCACGCAATGCAGTACAGAAAGTGTAGCCAAGTAAGCTTTCCCCTTCAAAAAATAGTTTGTATCCTTTTAGGATCAGACAACTTTTTCTTTAAAAAGTAAAACAAAATAAAACCCTTCCATATATATACAACTGTTGGTTATAGTCTTTATTTTTTTTTCAAGGGTAGAACTCAGTACTACTTCTTTCAATTGGAAAAGGGTGGGGTTTTTTGGGTTCTGTCGAATGTTAAACAGAGCTGTTATAGTATCTGCCTAAAGACATAGAAAAGACAGATTGCAATATTCTCCTTCTTATAATTAAAAAACTGCAGTGTTTATTTGTTTTGGCTCTGTAGTTGAAAAAAGTGGTGGTGATGGGCAACAGAATAATTTCTTCATCCCCAGTTCAATTATTTGCATATCCTTCTTGTTTACTATTATTTACTGACATCCTTTCCAGGATTCTCCTTTGCTTCCATTTCAGGCGCGCAGATAATATTCTGGGTTGTTTCTTCTTAGATCACAGTGCTGTGTGATCATTTGACACCACTGCTGTGTGACCGACATCATTAATAACAAGTAACACAAATCTGACATCACTACTTGCAAACAAAGCAATTTTCATCAGCACTTCCCTGGAATTCGCTCTTTTGCCAAAAAGGTTCACAACCAAAATCAGCTTCTCTTTTCAGCTCAGCATTACGGAAAAAGAATGATTCTGTCAGATATTGTTCAATTTCAGTATTGATATTGATATCATATTTGAAGTACAAGTTGTTCTCAACCACAATTGGGACTAGAATTTTCATTGCTAAGCAAAGCAGTTGTTAAGTAAGTTGTTAAGTAAGTTGCACCTGATTTTACAATGTTTTTTTGCCATGGCTGTTAATTGAAACACTTCAGTTGTTAAGTGAATCATGTGGTCGTTAAGCAAATCTGGCTTCCCCCTAGGAAGGTTGCAAATGACAATCCGGGGACCCCAGGACACTGCAACCATTGTGTACACCTGCTGGTTGCCAGGCACCTGAACTTTGATCTGTGACTTTGGGAATGCTGCAACACCATAAGTGTGAGAACTGGTCATAAGACACTTTCTTAAATGCTCTTGTCATTTTGAAAGGTCATAAAATGAATGGCTGTAAGCCAAGGATTACCTGCTTGGCAACCTTTGAGCACTTGGTCAGCACCAATTTGGTGACACCTGCAAGCCCAACCTTCCCTTAGTTTTATAGATTGGAAAAGAAGAAATGTAGCTCTGATCAGGGTATTATTAGAACAACCCCAATCCTGAGCAAAGTTTTTCTCTTTCAGCCTGGTGCCCTCTCCCCCTGGAAGATCACAGTGCTTTTAAAAAAATATTTGTTTGAGTATCTGGCATCCTAGAGCAGTTGTTTCTCAATTTTGGCAGCTTTAAAATGTGTGGACTTCAAGAATTTCAGAACTCTGGTTGGAAGTCTGCACATCTTGAAGTTGCCAAGATTGACAAACATGGTCCAAGGTGTTTGCTGTTGGTACAGCAGCTCAGATTTAAAGACGATTCCCAACTCCTTTAAAAATGTCCAAGCAAAATTGCCTTGCTGGTAATTATAATTAAAGTGGGATGAAATCCCAGGCAGCTTGATTGGTGCAGCTCTTCAATTGGAGCATGGAATGGAGTCAAATATGCAGATTACTTCCGCAGGTTACCATGGTAAGACACAGATAGTCCTCGACTTACAACCATTCATTTAGTGACCGTTCAAAGTTGCAACGGCAATGAAAAAAGTGACTTATGATCATTTTTCACACTTATGACCATTGCAGCATCCCCATGATCACGTGATCAAAATTCAGATGCTTGGCAACTGACATGTGTTTATGACGGTTGCAGTGTCCCAGGGTCACGTGATCTCCTTTTGCGACCTTCTGACAAGCAAAGCCAATGGGGAAGCCAGATTCACTTAACAACCATGTTATTAAGTAAACAAGTGCAGTGATTGACTTAACAATTGTGGCAAGAAAAGTTGTAAAACGGGGCAAAACTCACTTGCTTAGAAACGGAAATTTGGGGCTCAGTTGTGGTTGTAAGTCAACAACTACTCGTAAAGGGCTACAACTGATTAAAAATATTTCTCCTCCACCCCCCCCCTCCGAAGGCCTGAGGGGTTCCCGGCTGCTTCCGTTTAAAGTAAGAGAACTCGGGCCCATTCCCAGAGCTGACTCCGTCTGTTGTGTTCCTACGACCTAATGTGTTAGCAGCGCTCGTCTGTCTTGTGCAGACGGGTGTACTAGTTTTCACAAGAAAATGCGTGGGTTGGGAGTTTGGCAAGGGTAGAGAGGACTTTCTACCGCACCGGTTGGCACCCTCGTCAGAGGCCCGGCTGGTTCGGAGACCCAGCGTCCAACTCCGCCTTAACGTCAACTCCACTATTCCCCTTCTGGGCGGGAGGCGTGACTGCAACCAAGGAAGGGGTGTGTCCGGGGGGGCGTGGCGAGGAGCGGGGGCGTGTCCCGCCCAGGCTCTGGCCTCTCGCGCTGGGGACGCCGCGCCGCAGACGGCCGGAGGGAGCTGCGGCGGGCTGGGCTGGACGCGCTGCTGCTGGCCGTGGGAGCCGAGCGAGAAGGCTGGGCGGAGCGGGCGCGCGCTTTGCTCCGGGGCAGCCGCTCGCTCGCTATGAATGCTGCCCGGGCTCTGCTCTCCGCCGTGTTCCTCGCGGGTTTCTTCTGGGGGGATCTTCCCTGTTGCCAGCAGGCCACCGTCCCCGCCGCCGCCGCCGCGCCGTCTCTCCGGGAGTCCGGCAAAGGCAAGCGGAGCTGCCGGGAAGGCGGAGCGTCCCGATCGGCTGGAGACGCGGCCCCAAAGGGACCCGCTGCAGCCCAGCCGCGAGTGGAGCCCCACGAGTACATGCTCTCCCTCTACCGGACCTATTCCATCGCCGAGAAACTGGGCATCAACGCCAGCTTCTTCCAGTCCTCCAAAGCAGCCAACACCATCACCAGCTTTGTGGACAGGGGGCGAGGTAAGCAGCTCAGCCCCGCGGTCGGGATTCTTCTCGCCTGGGCTCCTCCCCACACACAACCCTGTCCATCCAGGCCGGCCAGCCGGCGGAACGAGCGGTCGGTCAGCGATCGCTCCCCACTTCCCGCCGGTCTACGATACTGTACTTGGGCGCGCTCCAGGGCGCTTCCAGGCGTCCCGTCCGCCGGCACCTCTGCCAAAGAACGGACAGGTCCCTGGCCCGACCGCGGGCTTTTATGCCCCGCCACCCGGCAGGTTCTTTTCCTTCCCCGGGTTGGACCACCGCTAACATCACTCCCAGCTGCTCTCCAACCTTTTGGGGATGGGGCGGGAGTACAACGGCACCCACGTACTTCTTAGCCCACAGTGGCTAAGCTGGCTGAGAGCGATGGGATCATAGCGGAACGCGATTTGGGAAAACTTCTGTTAGCCTCTGTTCGGGGTGTGTTTGTGTGCAACGTTCCTATTAGCTGGCTCTCCCGGTTTGGGAATAAGCTTTAGGATTCCCTGGGAGCAACTGTGCACCAGCAATGGGGCTCTCTGATTAAGAGCACATTCGTTTCGGAATAAGCACCTACGCGATGGGCTCTGGCGATTGGTCCTAAAAAGAGTAGCGCCTCCTTGGCTGACTTGTTCAGGATTGAGGCAAAAAAAAAAAAAAAAAACACCAGCGCTAGGTTTCTTACAGGTGGATGCTTAATCTGGCGCGAGTGCGCACCTTCCTGCCCTGCGTCCTTATTTTCACTAAGCCTGCTGGCACATTCACTTAATAGCAGCAGCAGCAGTAGTAATGGTAGTAACACCATTGTAGTGGCAGCAGTAGTAATACGATTGTTTCCACTGGTTTGCTCGGTCTAGAGGAGCGGGAGATGCTTTTGAGTTACCGCGAAAGCGGCGGAAGAGTCCCGGCTCCCGGTCTGCTTTCTTCGTTGTCTAGTAGTCCCAATCCTGACGCCCACTCCTTCCTTCCCTATCACTTGGGTAAAAGACAAGCCTCTCTTTGCACCGCGGGGACTGAATTCGACTTCGGCCCTTCCGACTTTGAAGGTTACGCCCAAGCAGGAAGAAGGAGTCGAAAAGCGATTCTTTTTGGACGATTTTGCGCGTCCCGGATTTTTTCGGGATGGATGGATAGTTGGGGGACTTTTCTTTCTTTCTTTCTTTCTTTCTTTCTTTCTTTCTTTCTTTCTTTCTTTCTTTCTCTTTCTTTCTTTCTTTTCTTTTCTTTAATTGCGGAGATCAGACGCAGTTTCCGAGATTCCGATCTGAGGACGGGAAGTCTGCGCAGACCAAACCAAAACTTGGGATTGCGTATAGAGCGCTTGACTTATTTTTTCGTGCTTTATCGTCTGATTTCTCCTTTGTAGGGAATAGAGATTTCTGCTCAGAAACCTCTGGCGATCCTTTGGGGATAGTTAGCTGTGCCAACTATCAATTATCGATTAATTAAACGGCTGTCCCACGAATTCCGGAATCCTTCCCCCCCCCCACACACACACCTTTTCTTACCTCTCACCCATCCTCCCCAATGTCCTCCAGACCTGTAGCGAGATCCAGGATGAGATCCGGGAGCTGTCCTGGACGCTGAAATTCAGAATAAATAAAAGAAAACCCAGCGCTCTAGTTCCAAAATACCAACTCATTTAAGTTTCTGTGAATCACTGGGTCTCGGCCTATCCTATAATGGGGGGGGGGCTTTGAAACAACGTCTAAACCATGGAAGGGGAGGGAGAGAGAGAGATGAATTCCTCTTCCTTTGAGACGAGGCATGGATACTCTCATTTGCTATTTTTGCTTCTCCGCGTCATTTATGGGGTCAAGCAATAGTCATTGCTACTACTTCCCCATATCATTAATTTTATGCCAGTTTGTGGTGCCCATAATGCTAACCATGCAGCTCCAAAATTCGATTGCTGCAATCCGGGAGATTTTCAGGAAGAATCAATGGAATTAGTTTGTCCACCGGAGGTCTCGGTGTACCCCAAAAGGACTTGGGTAGTGGACTCGAATTCCATCTCCTTGAAGATCCTTAAGACAAATTTGTTCGGGCAAGAAAATAGGGACCTTGGAAGAGTTGGTTTTATCCTCCTTCTGGGGAAGAGTTAAGCGGTCCTGGAGGGCGCCAGCATTCTCATTTATTTTTTTTCCTGGCAAACCTCGAACTTGGTGGTGGTGCCCATCAGTGGCATTTTAGGAATGGATTTAGCACGGACACGTTTTTGCAGGACTTCATAGGAAGGCTTTTAAAACTGAGATGCTGCGCTCAGAGCCTCCTCGGCTGAAATGAACCGAGAAAGAAAGCGCGCCGGTTCTCTAGATTGGACCCTGCCCGGGAAAACCTCGCTGCTCTCTTGCTTTAATAACTGATAATTTCATTTTTCAGCAAGAAAAAAACAGTTGCCTTGCCTCTCCCTCTAGAGCAGTGTTTCTCAACCTTGGCAATTTTAAGGCATGTGGACTTCAACTCCCAGAATTCCACAGCCAGCAATTGAAGTCCACATGTCTTAAAATTGTCAAGGTTGAGAAACACTGCTCTAGACTAGAACATACAAACGTCTTTTAATTTTGCACGCTTGTTTTCATTCTTTCTTGCCCAAACCGCGCCGTTCCCAATGTCCCTTTTTGTGCTTAAAACAAGAGGGCTCCTCCGGATCTTCAGGATTAGGAAATTTGGGGAATGGGGGTGTGTGGGGGTGGTCAGGAAAAGAGAGGGAAGGAGGGAAGGCGTCGCGCCCCAAGCCTCCTGGTTGGACGGAGGGAAAGGCCTCCTCCCGCCTCCTGATTTTGATTTGATATGTCAAGGCTGTGACCTGGCGCTGGAACTTCTGAGCATTAGGTCCCTGACTGGAGTGGTTCAGCTCCGCGATCTAATTGACCGCTGCTGTCATAACAGATCAAATAGTGTCTGGTCTCTCCTAATGAAGGGGGAGCTGCCAGCAGCCCCGGACCAGTCCGACCAAGACTCCAGTCCCTCCAAAGCGGAAGCAGCCCTCCACCCTTCCCCCCCCCCCAGACCCTTCCCCTTCCCCAGACCCTTCCTTTTCTTTTCTGTTTTTAAAGCTCATCTCCCTCCAGGCTAGCCGCCTTAGTTCTCCCTTTCGGCTGCTAATTGTTGAGACTGCTTATATTGCCCTTGCTATTTAAAAAAAACAAAAACAATGGCTCTTAAAGGTTCGCTACTTGCAGGTCGTCCGGTCTTCCTGCTTCCTGCAAAATTCTCCAGCATGCCTCTCTTGGAGCTGCCAGGAAACCAGTGCAGGGAAGGGCTGAAGTGTCCCTTCAAGAGACGAAGGAAGGCAAACTCGAGATCCGGTGTCCGGTCCTGCTTTTGGCAGGCGCTCCCGGGAGAGACAGCAACAAAAGCAGCAACCAGAAGGGTCGGTCTTATTTTTTTTCAAAAGCGTCTTTCCGCGCTTCCCCATACTTTTTCGAATTGTAAAAGGCGGCTTTATGATTAACAATATTGGTTAAATCAAGACGTCACGATTAAAAGCACAATGCTTATTGCCTCGCCAGGTGGCGGCACCTAGCTGCGCTGGGGTGCTAAACAGGAGCAGATTTAGTTAGTAGTTGGATAGGAGACCACTAAGTAATCCTGGGGCTCTGGCTAAGGTGGGAAGGCTGTCTGCGCACACTAGTCAAAGACACCGGCAAATAAAACGAGCCAGATTTGCCAGCTCCATCCAAACAAGCCTTTATTTTTCAACACTTCTCTGGCTTGTCAGTCCATTGCCTCCGCTGGGGACCACGAAGAACTAGCCCAGGGGTAGGCAACCTTGGCTCTTTTATGACTCATGGACTTCAACTCCCAGAATTCCTGAGCCAGGAATTCATAAAAGTCCGTGAGTCATAAAAGAGCCAAGGTTGCCTACCCCTGGGCTAGGCAGAAGTGCAGCGCCCGCAGATCAGTGGGCCGGTTACTTAGCCAGTTGCCCTCCAGTGTGGAAAGAACCATCCCAATAAAGGCTCTGCAGGGCAGGCCACGATTGGGGAACCGCGTTGGGCCATGTCCCGTCCCTCCGCCCCATGGCTGTCCGTTGGAAGTTCGCTTCAAATTAGGTAGCTCAGGATCAGAGGGAAAGCTTTGCTAGGATAGATCTCCTCAAAGGCCTTTGGAGAAAATCCCAGGGATCTTGGATCCCCCTACTTTGGCGCTGGAGGCTTGATCTCTGCCAAGAAACGGAGCTAAGGGCGGAGCTTTGGGGTGCCCCGAAGATCGGATCCTCCTTGGTCACTGCAGTTGCCTCGTCAACACCCAGCCTTCGTCCTTCTAAAAAAAAAATCGGCCTGAAGGACCGCAGTCCCCAGGGCTCTATCTGCTTCCTAGTAGGCGCCGGGTTGGAACTGCCTTAACTGCCAGTGTCTTCAATCCGCCTCACCCGTTACCCAAAGAGGCTGAAATGGAAGGGTTAAGCGGCGCCTTTAGGGATAGCAGGTGGCGCCAGAACAAGTGTAGGTGTATGTGTGTGTGTGGGGGGGGGAGGAATCTGTGTGGAATCGGGGAAAGGTTTTACAACCTCTGTTAAACTTCAGAAATGGGAGGGGGGCAGTAAACGGTAAGCTTCCGGTTTACCTCCGGGCACTTGGGTGTGTTACAGCCGTCACGTCTCAAAAGTGCAGGCCTCTTTTTGCTCTTCCCTCCTAAAATCCTATGGGACACCTCCATTCTCCTGGTGCTACCTTGGCTGGTGCAAGAAACCTACACCCCTTCGCGGGTTGGGGTTATTTGAAAGTAAAGCACTTGGCTTCCCCCCCCCCGGAAGTGAGCGCAGAGTTTCTGCAGTCCGGGGGTAACGTCTGAAGAAACCCGGGGCTGGTTTGGTGTCCTCGTAAGCAAAGCAGGTTGACGCGTTGAGCTAGGTTGTACAGTGTTTCCCAAACTTGACCATTTTAAGGCATGTGGACTTCAACTCCCAGAATTCCACAGCCAGCAACGCTGGCTGTGGAATTCTGGGAGTTGAAGTCCTCATGCCTTAAAATGGTCAAGTTTGGGAAACACTG